TATTAGGTACAAACGGAAGAACCCTCAGTTACAACGTTGTAAAATTTACATGTATAAAAATATTCTTCAATCCAAAAACAGTTACCAAATGTATTAATTTATTTATTTACTAGTACTATGTTGCTGTATCGCTGCTGTTCCAATGTTTTGACAGAATCAACGAACTTAGGCGTGAGCAGCGTTATAGAACAGTGCTTTCAAAAAAATTGTTCTACAGCGCCATCTAGTAGCGAGTAACAGAAAAATTGATAGCCTGAAAACCTTCTTTATGAAAAATTACTTATACATGTCAAGTTTCATCGCGATCGGTTGAGCGATGTAGATATATATATTGACTCTTGAAATGTTCAAATCTAAGAAGTTAAGCTCCTTGTTTTGTTCGATTTCTACTGTGAACTTAATTTTGTTATGCAGACTATTGAGAAATTTTAAAAATTGATTAATTTGTCTGTTTGAACCATCAAAACCAACCAGTACGTCATCAACATATCTGAACCAAACCACAATATGATTCTGGAAAAGGGGGGTTATTAAGGATGCGGGTAGTTTCTAGTGTGTCCATGAAAATGACTGCCAGAATGGGACTTAATGGTGAGCCCATAGGAAGAAATGAGTTTTATATTTGAATAAATTTCGTTTCAGACATGTATCAAGAAGTTTTCAAAATTCGGTAGTTATATATGGATTTGTATGACTCTTATCCAAAATGTATTTCACGAGGGGAAGACATTCGTCTGTTGGAATGTTAGGAAACATTTTTTTTTACATTGAATGATACTAGTTTGATATTATTTTTGATATTCAGATTTAATAATTTGTCAGCTAGGTCTACTGAATTTAGAACTGTGTTTGAAGGATTAAATTTTGTGAGGTCTCGTGATGAGTTTTGAACAATGATATTATATTCCATAAACAAGTCATAAGTGTTTATTAGTAACAAATGGAAAACAAACTCTTACCACTTTGAACTTCTGACTTGAGACTGCTGAAAGAATTCATCCCCAGTTTTATCACTACTGACTTCTTCCATTAGTTAAGGAAAGATTGTTTCAATTTCAGAATGGAAAAGTATAACTTCTCAAATGAGTGAAGACAAGACAAGGCTTACAGTACAATTTTGAATTTATTATCAATACAGAATGTGGAGAGAAATTATTTCTCGTCTTATTGGGTTCAGAAGAAAACAAATCCAAATCGAAAGTAATACATTCTTCCACTCACCTTTGCTTTATTTAATTAACACTGCTGTGAAAAACAGGCCTGTGATTCTTAAATTGTAGAATAAAATGAAAGTATATCAATTATTTTGTTAGCGGCATTAGTTCAACTACTAAATTATTATTTTAAATAAAATTGGAAATCCCAACCAAAACAGATTAACTCGACTTTATTTATTGAAGTGACACTATTGACACTAATGACAGCAACACAGCACAACAATAACACAACCACAGAGTAGTATTCTGTGAAAGAACCACAGTATCATAATACTACTGACACAACTACTAACTCAAGTTTGCCACTTGATATTTTATTCTCGTACTAAAATCATGAAAAATGAAACTATTTTATTGGCGCGTTCGGTTGATGTTCGGAAAATATTGTGCACGCGCGATGAGTACAATGAATCATCCTACTTCAACAGAACAGGACTCGGTACAGAATGATTGCAGAAAAAAAATATATGAGCGTTCATTGACTTAGACAATTTGCCAATTCGAATTAATAAAAAAACGAAGTGATTCAATTAATTATTGTCACCATTATATGTAACTCATTTTTTGCATATTTTTTTTCTGTAACGTTACGGCCAACGCAGTTAATTTCATTTATCAGATGCAGTCTTTAATTATGGGCAGATTGAATTTGTGTCAGATCAATATCGAAATGAATCTTAAGGACACAAAACAATTGAAGAATCAAACAAAAACTAATTAACGTGACCGATAATGGAAGAAGCAAAACTATGTTAATCATTTTCGTTATAGAAATGTTTCTTACCATAATCAAACAAGAGAATAGCTGACTAATTGACACATAATTTGCCTACTTGGAAAATGTATGGACCGCTAAATTTGAAGTTTATACAAATTAAACTGACAGATTTCAAAATGGGAATTGATTATTACGGAATTCTACAAATTCCAAAGCATAGTACTGACCTGGATATAAAGAAAGCGTATATTTCTCTTTTTATGAAATGTCTAATATATATTGTTTAATAATTCANAAAAAAATAAGCATACAGTAAGAAAGACTACCTATAACAATAACAATTACAATAGACACAAAAATAATATAAAACAAACTATTATGAGATTATAAAGATAACATAAAAGATTACAATCGTTTTTGAACATCTAAGAAATTAATTTTCAAAGTACTTTTGAATTGATATATAGACAAATGCATATACGGTAATAAATTATTTAGATACTTTGGTCCAAAGTAAGAAAAACATCCCTCAAATTTGGTGGTAACATGATATGGAATGGTAAATGTATCTTTTCTTAAATTGATAGAATGATTATCAGATCGCTTACTAAGTAATCTGAACAAGTAATTAGGAGTTTTGCTTTCCAATAGTTTATATAAGAATACAGATATGAGATAACGAATTCTAAACTCAATATTCAGCTGATCTAATTTCAATAAATATGGAGTTACATGATCACGGTAGTTTATGCAGCACACAAATCTCATGCAAGAATTTTGTATGCGTTGAAGTTTGTGTTTATTATAGTCTGGCAAGAATTTGTAATACACTGAGCAGCAATACTCAATATGGGGATAAATCAATGATTGAACTAATTTCAGTTCTGTTTCTTGAGAAAGCGGTATAAGGATTTCAGTTTAAAGAAGCAAGTTTTGTAAATGTGTTTAACGTGCTCATTGAACGAGAGAGTGTTATCGATATATACACCTAAATTTTTGCTGAATTCGCTCAGTCAATCGGTTCATTGTCAAGAAAAAGATGGAAATTTGTTTAAACTTCATTTCTTTGTAGGTCAGACCCTAAACATAGGGCTACTGTTTTATTTGGATTTATTCGAAGGCCATGATTTTTGGAAAATAGAAGTGTATTTTCTAAATATAAGTTCATCTTGGTGATAGCATGGTAAATATTATTAGATTGACTTGACTTGATCAAAACTTCTTTCTTCTTTATCCACAACAGTGGTAAAATACTTTTATTTGATAGGCCTCAGCTTAACCAATGTGTAAGCTGAACTGGATTCTACGCTGGATGAGTCTGCTCCTTCGTTTACAACAGTAAAATATTGGGTAGCAGAGTTTAAATGAGGCCGTATGAGCTGCCAAGACGAGCACAGCAGTTGTCGACCAAATGAGGTGACGACTCCAGAAGCGGTGAAGAAAATCCACAAAGCGGTACTGAGTGATCGTCGATTAAAAGTGCGTGAGCTAGCAGACTTTGTAGGCATTTCAAAAAGTACGGTACATCATATATAATCTGAAAATTTTGACACGAGAAAGCTGTGTGCAAGATGGGTGCCGCATTTGCTCACACTCGAGCAAAAACAGTGTCGTTGAAGATGTTTCAATTGAGTGTTTAGCGAAATTTCACAGCAACAAAGCAGAATTCTTGCGATGTTTCATAACCATGGATGAAACATGGGTCCATCAGTTTACAGGCGAGACAAAAAACCAATCAAAACAGTGTACTCAAAAGGGAGAATAGGCTCCAAAGAAGGCGAAGACCGTTTCATCTGCAAGCAAGGTCGTACCAACAATTTTTTGGGATGTGCGTGGGAGGGTGGAAAATAGCTGAATGGTCAAAGATTTTCCAACGATGAAGAAGTGATGTTAGCAGTTAATGACTATTTTGAGAAAACAGTATCGAACTTATTGAATGTCGCTGGAAAAAGTGTATAGAGCTAGCTGCAAAGAGATTATGTTGAAAAATAAGTACATTTTTTTTTCAAAATGTTTGTGTTTTCTTTGTTGGGTCGTGTACTTCTGGGACCCCCCTCGTATATGTATAGCCCAACCCTAGAAAAAAATATAANCTCCTTCAATTCTGTTGCCCTGTTTGTTGGTTCTGTTAGGCGGAAACTGCGGGATATTAACGTGTTGGCTACGGATTGTAGCTGGGTAGGGTGGTGGTGTGATGCTGCTTGTAGGTAGCGGTTGGTGTGTGTGGGTTTTCGGTAAACTATATAACCCAAGTTGCCAGTTGGTTTTCATGTTATAAGTAGGTCTAGGAAAGGTAGCTGTCTGTTCTCCTCTCTTTTGCATCCAGTTCACTACCGGCTGTTCCATTTGAACGCCCATTTTGTAGGCAGCACCACGCAAAAATCTATTTTGAACCTTTTCAGTGACGTTTTGTACACTAAGTGATAGGGACATTACACAACGGTTGCATACTAAAAATGTGACCTAATTAATGAACAATACAGTATTTTCATTGTGCTTGCCGATAAGTCTTTAGCGATAATACCTATATAGCCAAGAAGTTTAAGTTATTTCAAGGTTATTTTATTAACATGGGATTAGAATGACAACTTTTTGAATAGTCTTACAGATTCAATATGCGCTTTTACAGGTTTCTATTTGTCGATGATTTTAAAATTTGTATTTAAATTGACGCTACTTAAGACTGCTTCAATTTACAGAGTGACTTTAACAGGTTTTTTTTCTGATTGATTTGGCCGTTACTTGATGAAGATCCATAGTAATTTCAAAAACTACACCTCACGATTTGATCTCTACAAACTTTATTTGTTTCGCTAGCACTGTAGTGTATACACTTGAGAAAGCTACAGTGCTAGCGAAATATGTTGACATTATATTTTTTCAAATGAAGTTTGTGGAGATGTAATTTTTGAAATTTAACAGTGTTGAAGGATGGTTCAATAAAAATAAAATGTGTGTGATTGATGACTTGTTTATTTTGTGGTAATTCATGAAATGAATAAAAACACTTTTGTCTAATTACCACTAGTTGATTTTATTTATATGACCGGTTTCGGGTTTGACCCCATTATCAAGTATAAAACTGAAAGGTGAAGTTTAAAAACTCGGTTATATCGGGAATTTCAGGCAAGATGTAAGGCCAGATATTTGAAAGACAGGTAGTTGGGCGAACCAGGATGCCAACTTTGAAATTCAACAGTGAAAATTCTAGGGGTTATTAAACACATATCTTTTCACCAGTGTTGAAAGTATCTGAGTCAATAAAATATATTTTTTCAGAAAATGACAAAATGCTTTGCAAAATTTACTGATTCTACTCATGTAGAATGTAAAATATAACATAATTCTTCACTCTACAATTACAAAAAAAAACATAATCATCGGTTTTTCAATATAATCACGATGGCGAATATTTTAGAAACACAAAACAATGTTTCTAGTTACATTTGGAACATATCTTAAATTCATACTATTTTATTGGCGCGTTCGGTTGATGTTCGGAAAATATTGTGCACGCGCGATAATGAGTACAATGAATCATCCTACTTCAACAGAACAGGACTCGGTACAGAATGATTGCAGAAAAAAAATATATGAGCGTTCATTGACTCAGACAGCAGATGTTGAAGCAGTCGAAGTTGTACAAGCAAAAAATAATTTGCCATTTTGAATTAATAAAAACGAAGTGATTCTATTAACTATTGTCACCATTATATGTAACTCATTTTCTGCATATTTTTTTTCTCTAACGTTACGACCAACGCAGATAATTTCAATTATCAGATGTGGAACCTTTAATTATGGGCAGATTGAATTTGTGTCAGATCAATATCGAAATGAATCTTAAGGACACAAAACAATTGAAGAATCAAACAAAAACTAATTAACGTGACCGATAATGGAAGAAGCAAAACTATGTTAATCATTTTCGTTATAGAAATGTTTCTTACCATAATCAAACAAGAGAATAGCTGACTAATTGACACATAATTTGCCTACTTGGAAAATGTATGGACCGCTAAATTTGAAGTTTATACAAATTAAACTGACAGATTTCAAAATGGGAATTGATTATTACGGAATTCTACAAATTCCAAAGCATAGTACTGACCTGGATATAAAGAAAGCGTATATTTCTCTTTTTATAAAATGTCTAATATATATTGGTTAATAATTCATTAACAATTTCAGATATCGGAGTTTAGCATTGGAATTTAACAAAGAGTTACTCGAAAATAAAAATGCCCAGGAAGTATTTATGCTCATTGGAGAAGCATATGACGTATTGAGTAATCCTTCCAGAAGAGCCATTTTTGATCAGTTTGGGGAAGAAGGTCTCAAAAGAGGAATCCCAACAGTTGACGATTACATTCCAGCATATCACTACCATGGAGATCCATATGCTACTTACAAGTGATGACATCTTTTTGTTAGATATTTTATACCTTAAATCACTCGATACGTTTTCATTGTAGAGACTTTTTTGGAACAATTTCTCCTTTTGCTGATCTTCTGGATGTCCTTAAAAATCCTCCACTGCTATATCAGATGGCAGACGGAAACAAATGTGTCCGAAAGAAACAAGACCCCATACGACATCCCTTATATTTAACCTTACATGAAATATTCTTCGGAGGAGTGAAAAAAATGAAGATTCAAAGGCTGGTTTTTATCAGCAGTGAACAAGAACGAACTGAAGTTAGAGAGAAAATACTCAATGTGCCTATAAAACCTGGAATTAGACCAAAAACAGAAATAGTGTTTCCTGAAGAAGGAGACCAAAATCCAGCTCTGATACCAGGTTCGACAATAAGTTGATTTTGTTGAAGAATTTATATATGAGAATGAAAAGATAGAAACAGTTAATACAAAATAATTTAGAAGTGTCATTTGCGTAACGAGCGACATTTTTGCCGAAATGAAAAAATTATTTTATCTTCAAATCATCTATTGAAATTTGAGTTGTACGCGATTAGAAAAAATGGTATCTGCCTTTTCCCCCATAAGATTTCAGGTACCATCAAATAGCAAACAAGTTTCTTAGAAATCAGTCATTAGTTTCGATTTTGTCATTATTTTTTGAATATTTTTCATATGCTCAAAATGAAAATTGGTTTATTTATAGCCGATGTTATATTCATAACAGAAGATAGGCCAGATGAGACCTTCACAAGAGTTGAAGATGATTTGATTATGACGAGCGACATAACTTTGGAAGAAGCTCTTCTAGGAACAACAGTAACGATAAAAACAATTGACCACAGGACAATCAGGGTACCTATAACAGATGTTGTTTAGTAAGTAAAATATATGAATATGCTAACTGAATAGTGAATATTTTTTGTCTTGTGAAAGGTATCACATATATAATCAATCAATTCGTAAAATAGCTTTAAAACCCTACATCAGAGTTCACTAATCAGCTAATTAAAACTTTTTGGCGGATACTTGTTCTAATATTATTTCTAGAGCAGTCCATAGCATTATTCACGCCGGTAACTAGTCCATGACATACCAGATGTTTTTGCAATGTGAAATGGTTGGCGCGGTTGCCCCAAAATTTTCAATTTCTTCATTAGAGGATGCCTTCTTTGAATTATATTTCTATCTCGTCTTTATTTGATGAGTTCAGTCATTATGTCCATTAACTCTGTTTAGATTTATTTCTAGACGATTTTTTGATCTAAGGTTAATAAAATAGAACTACAGTTTTCTCTTATCCTCTTTCTTGTAGTGCGAACTTATGTTATTTATACCCATGTGTTTCTTTCAGTGTTAAGCCGTCTCACGTTTCTGCTGAATTAATAATGAGAAATTACATTAAAAATGCTAAGCCTCCCTAAAACTTGTCCTAGACTCCTTGCTCTGTAATTGTGCACTCGCATTTCGCATTATAAGCCGTTGTCATTTACAAAGTCAGGATTCGGTATTTTGGTGTTTTGTCGAACACAGAACACACATCACAGCCTTCGAACTTAGAACGTCATAACCATTGTACCCATCCCATACCTGAAATAAAATCTTCCTTATTTTGACTAAAATAAAGCTCAGTGAAAAGAGATTCACAGAAATCAAAAACAGAGCCGTAGTAAAACAGAGCCGTAGTATTATGGATCTTATCATATATATTGTGAAACTGAAGAATGTTTTCAAGTAGTAAAAGATCAGTCACAGTAGAATGCTCAGTGCTCTTAACGGTTGGCATTCTTACGCACGTGTGCAGAATTCAAACTTTTTCAGGTGCATTATTGAACACGCCTGATGAAGAAGCTATTGGGAAGAATATCTACCGATGGTGGCGCTTCTCAAACGATAAACGGCCGATCGGAATACCTGAATTTGGAGTATAGTTTATTTTTATTGTTATGGAGTTTGGTGTGTTTGGAGATTTCTAATTGAAAATTTTCTGCCTCAGTTCCAATATTTCCGATAAACGTCGTATTTGGACTATGTATAGTGAAACATAAAACACAGGTTGCGGTTTCGTCAGTATTTCCAAATTCACTCACGAGAAATCTAGTACTATTTAATATTTTTATTACGTTCTTACGCCGAAGCACATCTATTGTTTTCATAATTCAATCATTTTGATAGTGTAATTTATCGTTTTCGAGTAAATTTGGCAGCTTGGATTTGAGTTCTAAAAATCTTAATTCGATATATAGAGCATGCGCACTTACAAATGTTACGAAATTGCTGAATTTATTACTAGATTGTATAAATTTTTATATGAAAATAAAATACCTAACTCAAATACGGACTCAATATACTATATATTCAGTCCATGTCTAAGCTTTTCAAATACATAAAAAATGTATATATTCTGTTTTTTTTGTAGATTTGCAAAAAAGCATTTGTAGATTGAAATGATTCAAATATATATAAAAATAGAGGCTATATTGATATGTATTTTTCATTTATGATGAAGGTATGATTTTGAAAAAATAGGCAATATTTTTTCCAGCCCTGGATATGAAAAACTTGTCGAAAACGAAGGAATGCCTATATTAGATCAGTATCCTAGCAAAGGAAATCTGATCATACGATTCAATATATATTTTCCTTTATATTTACCACAGAGCAGCAAGGAAGTCCTGAAGAAGGGGTTTCATTTAGCCAGACTTGGTGGAGGTACGAGTCAACATGAAGTGATTAATAAGTTAGTTTTAGCAGACAAAATTATGCGAGTTGACCCTGATGAACGATTACCCCCAATGTAATTTATTCAAGTGTTCAAATTATTACCTTCAAAAATAAAGTGATGTTGAGAATTTATATTGTTTTATTGATGGTATAGATGAAAACCAAGTGATGACAGCAATTTGCTCTGGTAATAAATATGTCAAACAAATGATCTTCGTAACAAACGAGAAACTTTCATTCCTATATGTACATGTATGTCATATCACTTTTGTTCGAAACGTGAAGTGATTGTAGATCTCACTACAACTTAAGTAATGATAACTCGAGAACGAATATTCATATATGTAGATAACACTCTGCTTGAATAGATTCGGAGGTCACAACATACATTGAATGTATAAGAAATATAAACATTAATACTATGAAATCATGAAATATCTATAAACGATAAGAAAAATGACAAGAAATTGAAGATCTACAGCTTGTCAAATGTAGGAGACTTGAGAATTTTCACAACCTCCCTAACAGAGTTCTATTGAAGAGGATGGAAACTATATATAAAATAGCATTCGTCAAAAAATAAAATCTTGTCCACTGTACTATCGATGTAAACACCTCAAAATTATTAATGCAAGTGAGGAAAGCGCTCTCACACGCATTCAGTGGGCAGAACGACTTAATTAATGATGAATGTACTTAATAAAATCATGGTTGAACGCACAGAACGATAACTTTAAGTTATAGTTCTGTGGTTGAACGTTACTTTTTTCTTCTTCCTCCCTCTCCGTCATTTCTTGACCATGCTTTCATCTTCATGGTGTTTTCAATCATACACGAAGTTAAATATGGGAGAGTTAAATATTTCAAATACTAAAATAACACAATCAAATAATTTGGAGATACAATGTATATTATTTTGATAGGTACTCATTATATTATATGACGGAATATTAAGACGATATATTTATTATAGTTCTGAAAGGAATAAGATGTGAAGGTCAAGTTGAACCAGGTATTATTTATCATTTTTGAGATGAACACAAAAAGTTTCATTCTTTTGGAAATCAATTTAAATCACCATCAATTAATTAATAATTCGTAACTTTTAAAATTTACATTTCATTCAAATGTTTATTCACTGAATTTGACAAAATGTGTATTGAAGATATAATACACAACAGAAACTTACCCCAATAAGTGTGTGTGTAACACAAGTTATAAATATTTGTATATACGTTTGAGTACCCGAGTATTTTTATAATAATTTATGCATTATAGATGCAAGGGTCGTTTATTCCCCGCGGTTGGATTTATGCACGAGATGGAGCTGTTACTAGTTAAAATTTTTTCTTAGACGAATGTTTCATACATGCAGTCGAGCTGCATTGAAATTAATCGAGTCCCAGACACACTGCTGTTTCGGTCGGATCTTTCCTGTACTGACGAGAGGTCATACTTTGAAATCTGTCTGTAAGTGATCGACTTGACTGATTTTAGTATGGTTCTACTGCTGGATGAACAAGAAATATCTGCAAGACTAACCCTCTGAGGTATCTTACATAAATGTCTTTCGGGTAAAATTCAATGCCCATCGTGGTATTAGTCAAGGAAGTAGGTGTTTTTCGGCAGGTATTCACTAGAATCTATTCTGGATTCAGTATTCAAACTTATTTCAATGACTTTGTCAATTAAATATCATCTTTAGACAATAACTTTTTTGATTCTGCTGTACATTACACTTACAGGGTTTAAGCATTTTCCAAGCAGATTGAAGCTGACAACATTTAGTATAGAAGCAAGTCTTTCGAAACCCACTATCAGTTCTGTTTATTTTTGATCCGTCGAAGGTCTTATCAATTTCAATATGTATTATAATTTTAACATTATTGTTTTTCAAATGCATTAGGAAAATTGATATCTTCAAAGCTATGGAACAGACTGAAAGATACCATTGGATTCATTTCATAAATTTTTTTCACACTCAGAAGTTTTTGTTTTTGATCGATATTGATGTTCATCTTCAGGTAATGTCTATAATAATGATGTTCAAATTTAATTTATCAAGTCAGATCAACACTCCTTATTCTTCAGTTTAATACACTCTCTTTTACAGGCCAAATAAAATTAAATCACATCATCAACACATTAAAAAAAACATGTATTGTTTAGACCACATAATTGCTAATTCGTTGTCTCAGATATGCTACCTCTTACGTTCACCTTTAACAGTCTTGCGTTTTTCCTTTTTTTCTTCTTTGAGTTGCTTCTGTTTCTCTCTGAAATTCGAAGATGAATAATCAACAACTGGACTATATTTTCAAATGGTAGTTTTACAGTTACAATATTAGCAGTAATAAGCAATCCTAAATATAAGTTTAATCAGTCAATGGCTTTTCTTACTACCTTCCTACCCTCAAGACTTACTTAATAAAAAACTAACCAATACTTCTGGTTAGGTAACGTTTGGCACTAAATATTCTATATTGAATTACTAATTTCTGAATAATACATAGACGTGATGGAATTAGCCAATCCTTGATGAAAATGAGTATCGTATACAAGGCAAAGCTTTATTGTAACATTTTCATTGAACAGTTTACAAAATAGCAACTTGTATTTCACTATACGATAACTTCCACGAGTGTGTTCATACTGACAAAATTCTACCCAATTAGTGCTTTATATAATATAATAGAATACATCTGAAGTATATGAGTTGGGTTCTTGCATGAAACTTTATATCAGTCAAACAGAAAGAACCTTCTCCCAAAAAATAAAAGAGCAGTGAATGGTTTCTTGACAATGAAGAAGAATTTCATGTGTTCAACCACGACTTTTTGTAATGTGGAAATTGGTAATTAGTTTATTACATGTCTATTTAATGAGTTCCTGAAATTCCTTTCCTAATGTTTGAATTTTTAATTATTTTATACTAGACTCAGAACATCCCTGAGGAAGCTACTGTTTAGTGAAACACGTGTTGCTGTTTTGTAGTGACCTCACCTTACCTACCTTAACTAAACTACTCTTTTCAGTAGAAATTATTCAACTTTCAATGAAGAAAACAAAGGAATTGAATATAAATTACCTGTCTTCTCTATCTCTTTCCTTTTTTTTCTGACTATCAATTCGAGCTTGTTCTCTCTTGAGCTTTTCGGCTTGGGCAATAGTTTGAGCATTAATGTTTTTTTCCAACCCATTTTCATCATTGCTACTATTTCCTTCATCACCTTCACCCTCATCATCAGTCATTGCACTATATTGGGAGAGAATAGCATTTCGAAGTTCCCTCTCTTCCTGAGTATACTCCTTCTGTTTGGTAGTAGTAAATGATTGAGATTCCAATAACTTAGCAAGTTTGGTGTTAACATCTTCACTAGACATTTGAGTTTCAGTGATTTTCGGTTTATGTAACTGCCACTGTTCAAGTATTTCATTGCAATTTTTTGTAATTTCGTTTTCCTGTGAAATTGAATTTATTGAAGCAGGCTAAACCAAGAATTTTTATTAACATACTGCAAAAAGAAAGACCGACTACACAGCACTTCCTCTTAAAAACACTAGGTAAAATGTCCTTTGGTATTTTATAAGACTTTTTTAGGTTCAAAGCACAAAGATAAAAATACTCGAAAACGGTGAAGAATTGGACACATGTTACGTGAACTCTATTATCCGAAATGAACTCCTCTATTTTCTCCCTCAGTTTAGAACATGACTCGTGAAACATCCTGTATAAAAAATCTTTCTTGAACATCAAAATTTGCTAGTTTCTATATTTTTTTATTATTTTATAAAAAGTACCTTCACGTTATCCGAATTCCTGAGAAAGGTGAAAAATATTAAAAAAAACTCCAAGATCTCCAGAAAAATTTACTTTTCTTCGATATATACCATAAACTGGTCCCTTAGTACATAACAAAATCCCAGATTAATCTGTGCTAAAAAATACTTACGTTTTCTACTATCTCCGCAAGTAGCCCTTCGAGAGCTTCGTTTTTTTCTTCCTGAGTGTCATCACCTTCAAGTATTCCTTGAATGTAAGAGCCGAACACAGTTTCATCTGTCTGAAGTTGTTTTAATTTTTCCTTCAACCAACTTGAAAACTCTCCACTGGCTTCTGCCATTTTCGATTTTCCTAGCTGTCAAATTGACACAACTGACAACTGACAGTGTCACATATTAAAGCAGGATATCCACAGCTGCGTTATTCGATGATCTGACAATCTGAAAGTTTTTTGATTGGTGCAAATACAAATAATTATTTCAAAAAGATTTTCTGAATATTTTAACGAATATTGGCATTTTTTTATTGGTGGACGTACTGAAATTATATTAACAGGATATCCGACTGATTTAATTACTAAAATATGTTCAACTTCATACTTCATCCCATACATTTATTCACGAAATACAAAGATCCAGAACATTTCACCATTTTCTGACAAGGATATATGGGTATTTCATATCGTTCCATATTGAAATGTATATAAATTATTATCCATAGTTTTTACTGGCTCATCAAAACAGTGAAAACGACAAAACCAGTAAAAACTTGAAAACAAATGAAATACTATTTTCATTTCTTACTTCAAAGAGAAAAAAAGGCAACTGTGGATTGGAAAAACATCAATTCACATCATCGCTTATTTTCTCATAAGAATTATATCTAAAGTATTATACTTCTTGTGAGAGAGAGGTAACGATGTTGCTTGATGAGAGGAATTTGGATTTTCTGGCGTGGAATAAATCCATTGGAAACGCTTTTCCTCACCAGAACAAAAGTGCTGTCTCTCGACGTGTGTTTCTCTAACCCAGTTAGCATCATTAGATATCTCCTGTCAACTTGTTATTCAGATAGAATCGAGAGTTCGTTTAATATATTTCGCTCAGTTGACTCTGTGATCAAGTGGTATCTAATCTGCATCTGCTCTCTCGACACCTGATTTTTGAAACCGAACACGCTTAAAATCATGTGAAACTTTCTGTCTTCCTGACAGTTTTTATTTTTTTCTCTGAATATATTTGCAACATTGCTTAAGTTCTGGTGTTCCATGTTTCATGGTGACCAGTCATTCTATGGGGAAGAAGAAACAGCTGAATGGATTCGTCTGTATTTAAGACAAGACTGTTAGTGAGTTGTCGAAATCAGAATCTGGTTAATCTCTAATGTGTGGTTGAATGTATTACTGAGGATATACGTAACTATTCCTAAATTGGTGTATCCAAAAAAGTGATTGTGATTTTTGTTGGTACTGAAGGACAATAATGTTTGGTGAAAATGAGTGAACTTTTACAAACACAAAAACAAGTCGATTATTAATCTGTTAGTGCAAAAAAAATTCAATTGTCGGCATAAATATGAATAATTTCTTCATAGACTTCAAGATTTTGTAATATTTTGTTAATGGTTGTTGTGCGTAATGATTCCCTGTTAATAATTACCGAATTTGGTGCGAGAAAAGAGAAAGAAAATTACAAACAATGTCAACTTTGAAAAGTGGTGGTCTAACCAAAAAGGAAGGCAAAATGAGGATCCGTGCCTTTCCTGTAAGCAGTTTTTGAATAATATTGATCACTTTGTTCCTGGTGTTACATGATGTATGAAAAGTGATATGTATAATTATATCATTTTGTAACATTGCCATATGAATCCCAAATGTGTGTCAGTAAATTTTTGATCTGTCATATTTTTCAAACAAAAAAATATGTGTCATTTTAGGAACAAGAAATAAAAATTCATTGTCATTTTACAACTTTTTATGGAACATTTTAAAAATATAAGATAATTCAAATCATTCGAAAGTTGAAATTAAGTTCATAGGAAGATTTATTCAATAGCTACATATCAATATTTCTCATGATATACCATATATATCATGAATAGTAACTCATATTTTACAAAGTATTGGGATCATTGGGAAACACCAGGAGATAAAGTAATTGCATTTTTTATTATTATTTTCAATTTGTCCTACATCTGATTTGTAGATGACTATGGACGAAAAATATGTCGAGAGTATATGGGCCCTGTTGAAAAATGCTATTCAAGAAATTCAAAAGAAGAATAACTCTGGACTGAGTTTTGAAGAACTTTATCGCAATGCTTACACCATGGTTCTACATAAGCATGGTGAAAGGTTATATACCGGATTAAAAGAAGTTGTTACTAACCATCTTGAACTCAAGGTAAGAAAATCTTTATTTATTGGAATACAGTACAGTGACAGGACTAATTTTTCAGGTCAGAGAAGACGTATTGAAATCATTACATAACAATTTCCTAATGACTTTAAACCAAGCCTGGAATGATCATCAAACGTCCATGGTTATGATTCGTGACATTCTGATGTATATGGATAGAGTTTATGTTCAACAAAACGATGTTGATAATGTTTATAATCTTGGATTGATTATATTCAGAGACCAGGTGAGTTCTAGGGAAGAAATTATTTATTGAGTTCACTTAGTTGTTTTGCAAATAGAAATTGTAATTAAGTGATGTATTTTGAGAAAGCTACAACTTTAGAATGCTTCAAATTTCAGACATTTTTTTAGTGATGAGATAATTCCTATTGAAAATCCTTAGTAATGTAATGTTCCAATTAGGAGAATAATCCAATGCAAAATAATAGAATAGTTAGTAAAAGTTGATATTAATCAAATAACTTGACGGTTCTGTTTTGGGTTGTGAGTAAATAAGCATTTATTCAGATATTCAGTTAACTACTATAATCATATTAACAACTTTTATTATGGGTGTGCTGTTAATAACTTCTCGAGTCACCTAGGGAGCATCACGGCTATTTGTTATCTTGTGGGCCATGTAATAAATGCGTTAAATGAGTTCATGTGAAATGAAGATTCCTTCACATGAAAAATTCGAATTTCAATCCTTATCCTAACAACAATATTTATATTAGTATATAGCCTTGAAATTTTTCAATTTCATTTATCCCAAGGCATTTTCAGAGAATTTACCTACAGAATCAAATATCCTTTTTAATAACTTGACGGTTCTGTTTTGGGTTGTGAGTAAATAAGCATTTATTCAGATATCCAGTTAACTACTACAATCGTATTAACAACTTTTATTATGGGTGTGCTGTTAATAATTTCCCGAGCCACCTAGGGAGCATCACGACTATTTGTTATCTTGTGGGCCATGTAATGAATGCGTTAAATGAGTTCATGTAAAATGAAGATTCCTTCACATGAAAAATTCGAATTCCAATCCTTATCCTAACAACAATATTTACATTATGTTCCTGTATTAGTATATAGCCTTGAAATTTTTCAATTTCATTTATCCCAAGGCATTTTCAGAGAATTTACCTACAGAATCAAATATCTTTTTGCATATATACATCATCATCTCGAAGTATTTCTGTAACTAATTGTATCAAATTCCCTATTGAATGACCAACAAGAGGTTAACCACTTACCATTGTTAAGCCTTTTTTCATAACATACAAATATTTGTCCTAGCAACAATACTTACATTATGTTCCTGTATTAGTATATAGTCTTGAAATTTTTGCAATTTGATTTACCTCAAAGACATTTTCAGGGATTTTACCTATAGAATTTAAAGATCCTTTTGCGTATATACATCATCATCTCGAAGTATTTCTGTAACTAAATAAGGACACTTAGAGCTCTTAGGAATACTGGCCTCTTTCACATTATCAACTATGACATACACTCTCCTATCGATCACACTCTCAAATAGATTAACGACAAAAAATTTGAGGTTACTGGTATTACGTTATCTACATCAAAAAGTAGTCTGTGGTCAGAATCATAACATTTCTTGTGTACTTTAATTTATTGTACTCGTACTTAACTGTCTAACGAAAGGCAGCAATAAGAAGTATTTTAAAAACTTAGTGGGACTCAACTCACAAATCAATTTTTTCAACTTTAAAATTTTGACATTTTATGCAATCATTGTATACTAGGAATTAATAAACATTAGAAAGCATGTGAGCGAAAACTTGGAGAAGTCAGATGTGCAGAACCAAAATTGATATAGTAGTTCCACACAACACTAAAAAACAGGATAGATATCGACCTCTTTGATAGTTTGCCATCTCATTTCTAGAACTTATCATTTGCTTTGTGTAATCACGTGTCTATCTTCTCCTGTTGACCGATTGATTTTCAATCAATGTATTTATTTTCTTTTCAATTGTATTTGGTCTTGTTCCAAATACGCTGTTTGTGTTCAGCTGTCTGCAACTTTAGAATAGTGGGCTTCTTTAGGCTGGTTTTTTCTTTAGAGAAATAACCACAAGNCAGGGTACCCTAGCAATGAGTCGCAGAATATTTTTTTACACCGAAAAACATCTTGCGCTAGTGTAAATACGGTTGGGGTTTGTTGACGGTCATGGAATTTATAATATTTAATTACACCCACATTATTTTAGCTATTGAATTAAATTGAAACTTTATATTATAATGAGACGCTTTCTTTTATATTTCAGGTTGTTCGACACGGATGTATAAGAGACCATTTGAGAGAAACACTTCTTGATATGGTCATGAGAGAACGAAGAGGAGAGAAAGTAGACCGTATATCCATAAAGAATGCCTGCCAAATGTTAATGGTTCTCGGTATCAATGCTAGATCAGTCTATGAGGAAGATTTTGAAAGGCCCTTCTTGCAGCAGTCTGCAGAATTTTATAAGGTTTTGTAATCTAAAGTTAATAATAATTTTTTCTTGTCATCAAAAATAATTCAGTAAACTGTTTCGCATTTTGCTACTGGATTTCTATAGTTCTTTAACTCATACATGCTGTGTTCTTTGAATTGTCTTTAGTAACATTTGTTGTTTGACCAACATCATTTTCTCAATTGCCACTTATGTGGCAATTGTGTGCCATTGAATTTCGACAAACTGTTTGATTTTTCAATCGATTTAATTGATTTGCAGGTTGAAAGTCAGAGGTTTTTAGCTGAGAACAGCGCATCTGTATATATAAAAAAAGTTGAAGCTCGTATAAATGAAGAGTCCGACAGGGCCAAGCATTATTTGGATGAGTCTACCGAATCTCGAATTGTAGAGGTTGTTGAAGAGGAGCTGATCAAGAAACATATGAAAACAATCGTGGAGGTAAAATTATTCTTTCATTTCTCATAATCTGACCTAGTATACAAAATATTTTAACTCATTATTCTTGTGTAGTTGACAGTGTGTCAGAACACAATAGCCCCAATTCGGTGCAAATGAGCTCATAATTAAAATACGGTAACGAAATGATACTGATATATGTAGAGCTTTTCTAAAAATTGATTATGCAAAATTTTGGTGGGCGCTTCCAATTTCATGAGGCATTCAATTAACAGTGTTGTAGTTGCTAATTTATGAAGTAATAATTGCTGTGATCCTAGTATTCCAGAGTTGCCAGTTTTATGATTTCTTGGAAAACGTTACCTCTGAAGAGAACAAATAGGGTTAGACTGACTATTGAAGTTTGAGGTTTATATTGAATAGCTATTTTTGATACACTTCTTGAATAATAATTATGTGTAGTAGAAGTAGTATTTATTGGCCATATTTACATACAGAGTACAATGGGAAATGTTCCTCCTGACGAAAATCAAGTAGTTTTCATAAAAGAGCTCTAAAACAAGGCTTTTTCAACCTATTTCTTTAAAAAATTATTTAAATACTTAAAAAGGAGGAATGAAATAATGCATTCAACATTCAAAGGGATTCGTTTCTATTTCACCATTTGGCAACATCGGTTATAGCTAATAAAGGACAATGAATCNCTCAAGAAAGGCGTGAAAGGGGTGAGTAACATTTTTTTGATGCGTACTGCCTTGATGCTTTTCTTCAGGATTGTGATTGTAAAACTTTTTTTATTTCAGATGTCGGAACAAGACATAGAATTAGTTCTAGATAAATCAATGGTACTATTTAGGTTCCTTCAAGAAAAAGATGTATTCGAACGGTATTATAAACAGCATTTGGCTAAACGGTTATTACTCAACAAATCTGTCAGTGATGATTGGGAGAAAAATATGATCTCGAAGTTGAAGGTGAGTATTTATTTTTTTATTATATTGCTATTTGAAGACTTATTGTTTTTGGGTTTCGTGATTTAAGTAGTACAAGTAGAGAGTAGTGCAAGAGAGACATATAAGAGGGAAAAGGGAAAGGGAGATATTAAAATGGCTTTGTGGGCAAAGTAGAGCAAGAATGCCATAGAGAGAGAAAGAAAGGTCTGTTGATAGTTAGAATATATATGAGAATAAAGTAGTAGGGTATACATAAATAACTATTTAGTAGTGATACGGGCATTGATTGCAAAGAAACCGTTCCAAATTTCTACACTTTTCATACTTTTCTAGTAATTCTGATGCCTTAACATCACAGTTTGTGATTAATTTTGTCACAAGTTATATTGTTTCCCATATAAATTACTGAAAATTTGAGTTAATTTACTCTCAGTTGAAGTATTTGTGATGGAAAATATTAGGAAACAAAATGGCGAGAAAAAAAAATCATATAAAGCGGGCAATTGAGCAGGGACAATTTTGGATGGCCTTGGTCATGATAAATGTGTAGGTTAAATAGTTTTTTTTTCAATGAGAACTCTATACACCCTAGCATTTGGTGGAGAGTAAAATTTTATATTCAAGAACACAATTATGTTGTTGGACAAAATGACTCGTAAATGAGTGACTATTGTGAATAAGGGTTTATTGTTTAAAAATGATTTGTCTCTACAGTCACTTTGATAGGGTATATGCTATATTTACTTTGTAGGATTTTCAGTGTCATTTTATAAAAATCGTAGACCCAGCATTCTAAATAGGTACCTTATTCCTCAACTTTATTCTCTTCCCCAGGTGAAGAGATAATGAAGCTTTTGTATTATTATTCTGTGTCTATCTATAAAGTTGATAAATAACCAAAACTAAAAAATTCATTTTTGGGAAAGAAAGTTTTTGGCTTTCTACTACTNTAAAATAAACTGATCACATTAAACCTGGATGTAGACGTTTTTTAAGCCCAAAATATCATACTTATTCCTAAACACAAACGGCCTATCTATGCCTATGGAAATGAACAGTTATACAATTACTTTACAACTTATTTTCAATAAGCTGTCTCGATTGCATCCAAATAAAGCTCCAGGACCAGATGGGATGCTGCCAATGCTATTGAAAAATTGCAGATTCACTCTAGCAACCACAATTTTTTCAGCTTCACTCAGTCTGGATGATTGTCCTCTTGTATGGAAGTGAGTCGATAATATTAGGTTAGGTTACGTTGTTTAGTCCGTTTTAATGTCATGTGTTTTGTAGCTCCATATCTCAACAAATATATACAGTAGTATTTTTATTAATTTCGGCTATTGAAACGTATAGTCATTTTAAAAAGTCAATGTGACAACATCAATCAAGTATATGGATACACATAGACTAAAATTTATTATCTATTTCGATGTGCTGCAATAATACTACTTTGAAATTATGAATACTTTTGTTTCAGTGTTTGGATTCCAATGCTAGAAATTCCTCTTTTTAAAGCTGTTATAGCCATTGATATCCTTTATATATTTTGGCAAGTTACACTGTTTTCAAAGTCTAATTTTTTTGAGTTGCTCACATGAAAAAGAAATATGATAAACGTTTGGCAAAACTGTTAGAAAATGTTCCCATTGGTTGATCCATTTTCTACTTCATTCGAAATGGATAACTTCTTTGAAAATTTGTTTTGTTAATAATGATTTGAGAAACAAACCTACCACTTTTTCTACTGTTATGGAAGTGTTGCTATTTTATCTGAAAGTTATTGAGTTATTTGTGGACATAATGTATCTTTATTGTCCAATCCATACTTTCCTATTAATATTATTCTATCTTCCATTAATATAATTTGGATGTAATGTTACTTCTTTTCAGATGGAAAATTCTGGGGTTGTACATATGCTGAAACATCAAAAAACCGAAGATCTCGCCTGTATGTATAAACTGTTTGGGCGGGTAATAGACGGTTTAAAAACGATGGCAGACTGCGTAAGCCTTTATCTGAGAGAGCAAGGCAAGGCATTGGTCCAAGAAGAAGATCACCAAGTAGCGACCAATGCAATTACTTTTGTGCAATCACTTTTAGACTTGAAAGACGGATTCGATCACTTCCTCAAGAATTCGTTCAATAACGACAAAATATTCAAACAGATGATTGCCTCCGATTTCGAACACTTCCTCAATCTCAATCCAAAATCTCCGGAGTATCTGTCTTTGTTCGTTGACGACAAACTCAAGAAAGGCGTGAAAGGGGTGAGTAACATTTTTTTGATGCGTACTGTCTTGATGCTTTTCTTCAGGATTGTGATTGTAAAACTTTTTTTATTTCAGATGTCGGAACAAGACATAGAATTAGTTCTAGATAAATCAATGGTACTATTTAGGTTCCTTCAAGAAAAAGATGTATTCGAACGGTATTATAAACAGCATTTGGCTAAACGGTTATTACTCAACAAATCTGTCAGTGATGATTGGGAGAAAAATATGATCTCGAAGTTGAAGGTGAGTATTTATTTTTTTATTATATTGCTATTTGAAGACTTGTTGTTTTTGGGTTTAGTGATTTAAGTAGTACAAGTTGAGAGTAGTGCAAGAGAGACATATAAGAGGGAAAAGGGAAAGGGAGATATTAAAATGGCTTTGTGGGCAAAGTAGAGCAAGAATGGCATAGAGAGAGAAAGAAAGGTCTGTTGATAGTTAGAATATATATGAGAATAAAGTAGTAGGGTATACNAGCTTATACTATACTATACTAATTATTATAAATACCTTTATGTGTGTAACAAAAGACAATAAAAACAGACAGTATTAACTAATAAAATACATTTATATGACTAATGAGCGAGAGACTTGTTTTTTAAAAGTATTTTGATTATCACAGAAAAAATTGACTTTATCACAGTAATTATTTCCCAGTCTCAACATTTCAGATAAAGGAGAATGATAACCATAGTTAGTTGAGTGATATGGTGTAAAAATTAGCTTTTTTGTCTAGTGGACCTCTGTGGAATGTTGAAGTTGATAAGAGATAGAATTTCCGGACAATCAATGTCCGGAATATCAATCATATTAATTCATAGTATAAACAAATTCAATTTGGCCCTTTTACAGCATATAATTCAAATGAATATTTTCGAAGGTACTACAGATTTAAAATGCAGGGATATAGCGGTTGCGGAGGTACCGGCTGGGGGGCCGGCGGCGCGTGCCTATAAATAGCGCATTAGAGGCCGCGCTTCGCCCTATAGCACTTTATGATTAGCAGCGTTCTCACGCGTTTATATGTATATTTAGAATCAGCATTGCACCCGTGCGGAGTTTTGGCAGATCGCTAGGAATTTTGTAAAGTTTAATTCACGAAGTTCTTTGCAGTTTTTGTCTCTCTCCAAAATTTCGAAAGCTGACCTAATGTATTTCATGATTTATATAAATTTGTCGTTGAAGTGATAGTTCCAAACAAAACTTTTTTTTTCAGACGGAGTGTGGTTGTCAGTTCACCTCGAAGTTAGAAGGAATGTTCAAAGACATGACAGTGTCGAACACGATAATGGAAGAATTCAAAGAGCACGTCTCGAAATCAGAGGTAGGTTATTATTATTTGTATCCCATTTCAATTATAATGGACGCTATTTTGCTTTCAGACAAATTTGGGTGGAGTGGATTTATTTATGCGAGTCCTGACGACTGGTTTCTGGCCTACCCAAAGCGCGACTCCGAAATGTCACATACCAGCTGTACCGCTTGCTGCCTTCGAATGTTTCAGAAGGTAATAATAATAATATAATATATTACAGGGTATGCTTTACATTGTTCTGCAACATAAAAACATGAAATGCAACAACTTCAGACAGATTGTAC